CGGCCCCGCCCCCGCGCCCCCGGGCTGCCCTTCCCTGCCTCGGGCTCTCCCCTCCGGCACCACCGGCCTGCTGGCGGCCGCAGCCAGGCTGCCCCTTGCCTCGGCTTCCCCCTCCGCAAAATGGAGCCGTGGATTGAGAAATGCTAAAGAGATGGGGAGAGTTACCTCTAATTCTCACTTCTGCCTCTGCTGCTTGGATCCTCACTGACTTTCTTTCCCAGTGTTCCTGCATCTCCCTCCTCGCTGTTTCCTTCCCACTCAAGCCTGTTTTGGATTTTTTTTCCCTTTCGCTTGGTGTTCTCCTCTAAGACTTGTGGCGCTTGCACAACACACCCAGCCGCCCAGTGGGATTTAAGCACTTCAGATCCTGCGCTGTGCTCAAGCGAGCTCCACCGCTCCCAACACCAGGCGATGGGACCTGCCGGACAGCCCCACGGAAAAGAAATGGCACGGGCCTGCTTTCAGCGAGGAAGTTGTGGCGTGAAACAAGCCCCGTTGTTCAAGTATTTGGGCAACATATGGAAATACGTGCCATTTGAAATCTGTGCCCGAGTCGTGTCTTTTTTTAAAGCTTCAGTCCCCTCAAGCCTACGATGTTCCTGCGGGCATCGCAGTGCTGTGCGCGGCGGGCAAGGACGGTTCAAATGGCAGTAAAGGGGAGAACAGGGAACGCGGCACTTGAGAAAGGGTAAGCAGGGCAAAAATTGTTATTTACTCATGCGTGTGAGAGAAATGACTCAGCTTGCTGGGAAAGACCGGGTGATAAATATGTAATTATCAAATAAATAGACTGTGTACTTGTTTAGATACGAAATGTGTAAAAGCAGCTAACCCTGAAGAGACAGAATAGGAGGCAAAATAAAGACATTCGCTTCAGATGCTAACCGGTGTCGATGCAGCGCTGATTTTAGGCAATTGCTGTTTATTTTAAGAGAGCTTTGCTCTGGTGATGGGGAAGTTCTAAGACGCTGCAGCCAGGGTCGAGCTGATCCCGGCCACACCTGGAGCCGGCACGCAGCGTGGTTGGACACACCGCCCCTTGCCTGCCGCCTGGCCGAATTCCTGGCAGGAGTCACCTCGCTTCCCTGACCACCCCTCCTCTCTCTGTACTTAGGCCGCACCTGATTTCTTATCTTTAGAGTAGATAAGGTTCAAAGGCTTAAGATAGGGCAAAATCACTTCTTAATTTAAATCTCCCTGAAATTCGTGGGTGGTGTACAGCCAGGCCCGCCCAGGGGTACCTCTGCCCGTCCCCCCGAGCCCCGGCGGGGCAGGCTGCGCTCCGTGCCAGTGGGACAAGGCATGCCGTGCTCCCCGGGCCCTGCTCCAGCTCCCGGCCTGCTCTGGCTTGTCCCCAGCAGTTGTGTTTCCCTGAGGACCAGGCTGGGAGGCTGGAGAAGGGTGGCTTAGACTCAGCTTTCCCTCCGCTCCTTGGCTACGAGGACCAACGGAGCCTTTGGCTTCTAGGATTGAAAGGAAACTTGCTTGGATGTTCCAGTTGTTTTAGAAGAAGCTGGTACGTACAGGGAATTAATTTTTCCACGTTTCAGAAGAAACTGCTCTGAGGCAAACAAGAATTCTTTCAAAGTTTTTCAGCATCCAACACTGAGCTCTGAACATAAAGTGGGCTTGCTTAATTTTATTGGCTAGGCTGAAGTTTGACAACAGTCAATAAGAATAAAAATTGATCACGTTAAAAAATGTTTCATTTTTAACACCCTAGAGGGTAGTGAAGAAGTTGGGAAAAAAAGCTTTGTTCACTGGCACCAGGCGCAGGGAGACTGCAATACAAGGCCAGGCCAATCCAAGGTCCACATTTCTCCAGCCCTACCTTGCCTCTCCTTCCCTTCCCACTGTGATTCCCACATTTTTCCTTCCTTCCCTTCCCACTGTGATTCCCACTCCCGTTCCCAGTGCTCTCCTGCACTCACACCTAGCAAACCCGTTCTGCTCCGCATTCTGGCCCTTGCTATCAACCACAAAGGTAGAGGTCCCTGCAGCGACTGAAGGTGTGGGCTGAAGGTGACGGAAACCAGTGCAGCAAGGTGGTTCTGACTGGTAATACTGGGTATGGGGCACAGCACGCTGCCTTGTAGGTTGGAAAGGGTGAAACGCCACGCTTCCCGGGGATTGCTGAGCACAGGGTTCAGCTCCTGGGGGGCCCTTTCTCGACACCATCGTCGGACAGGGCAGCGCCTTGGTCTCAGGGGGCTGGGGCTGGGGAAGCGCTGGGGGGGGTGGCAGGGAGCCCAGCAGCAGCCTGGGGAGGGCACTGGGGCTGGGGTGCTGAGGGCAGGATGCTGGGGTCGGGGTGCTGGGGCCAGGGCACTGGGGTCAGGGTGCTGGGGTCAGGGCACAGGGGTCGAGGTGCTGGGGTCAGGGTGCTGGGGTCAGGGCACAGGGGTCGAGGTGCTGGGGTCAGGGTGCTGGGGTCAGGGCACAGGGGTCGAGGTGCTGGGGTCAGGGTGCTGGGGTCAGGGCACAGGGGTCGAGGTGCTGGGGTCAGGGTGCTGGGGTCAGGGCACAGGGGTCGAGGTGCTGGGGTCAGGGTGCTGGGGTCAGGGCACAGGGGTCGAGGTGCTGGGGTCAGGGTGCTGGGGTCAGGGCACAGGGGTCGAGGTGCTGGGGTCAGGGTGCTGGGGTCAGGGCACAGGGGTCGAGGTGCTGGGGTCAGGGTGCTGGGGTCAGGGCACAGGGGTCGAGGTGCTGGGGTCAGGGTGCTGGGGTCAGGGCACAGGGGTCGAGGTGCTGGGGTCAGGGTGCTGGGGTCAGGGCACAGGGGTCGAGGTGCTGGGGTCAGGGTGCTGGGGTCAGGGCACTGGGGTTGGGGCGCTGGGGCAGCGTGTGGCATGACATACTGGGCAAAGGGGGTGCTGTGGATTTGTTCCTCAGCGTGAGGAAGCATGGTGACCTTCACGTCCAAGGCTGGGGAGCTGATCATACATGTGCACTAGTACGACAGTCACCTAGGGTGTCTATGATCCCGTGAAGGCTGATTTCTTGCTCATTAAAGAAAGTGTTTCTTGCCATTTGCGTCACACTTTACAGTTCAACTCCCGGGGGCCCTTCCTCTACACCATCATCATCGCTGTCAGCCGAAGGCGACAGGCGCTCCATGCAGCGCCATGAGGTGATCAGTTAAAAGGGGGCCGCAAAGCACTTCAATTCAATTTTGCCGCTAGATCCTGCCATTGTCCCGACTTAGAGGGGATTTCAGACTTTAACAAGCAAAGCCGATTACAGCCGAGGCGGGCCGACAGAGCAGCCCTTCTCCTCAGCTCTCATCTGCTGCTTCATCGCACTTACTGCTGCCCGGGAGCTTCCCCGGGGGGCTGAACCCAGTAAACAGACACAAGCCTGTTAACTGTAATTTTTGTGGATCCTTCAGCTGCCTAATAACGAAGATGTTTTTTCTTTATTTTTCTTTCTCTCCTTTTAAACCATAGGTTAGAGCTTCACTCGAAAGGCCGAGGCACGCAGCAGTCCATTACGTGTCCCCCAGGAGCAGCTCTGATCCACTCTCAACTGCTCACCTCGCCAGGCAGCGATCCTGACGCACAGTCTGCAAACGAAACAGAAACTTGGCTCCTCTCAACTCGGCCGCTGATTTCCACAGGCCGAGGTGTTGCTTCACACCCAGGGCAATGCCCAAACGTGTTTGTGTTGTGCAGACAAGGGCCTTCCCCCGAGTGAGATAAAGCCTATGCCATAACCCATTGGAACTCTAATCTAATCTGAATGTAGAGAGCTATAGCTACTGTACTGGAACAACTCAAATACAGTAAATAAATAAACAAATTACAGTAGAGCAACATAAATATTATACTATAAGAGTAGTTTTGCTACGGTATAGTATAATAGTATAGTTTTATTATAGTGGAATAGTATAGTAAAACTATACTATAATGGTTATTTCCAGTTATAACCGGGAAGTTATCCCACTGTAAGAGCTGTATGTCACCCTCTCTAGACCGGAGTTCTGATGGGTTGTTGCAGTTCCCAGCAGCTTTCCGGTGGCGGCCGGAGGTTGGTCTCGGGGAGCACGCTGTGTCCGCAAGCAGACGAGGCGCATTGGTGCGCCTGCACGCAGTGCGCTGCCTGGCACCTGCAGTCCGGCTGCCCGCCATCTGCCTAAGGCACTGCTGGGGCAACCTGCGGGTTGCCCTTAAGAACGCAGGTGGATGAGAAGGGGACGGATCTGGGAACATGCCGAACCGCCAGTCTCTCCTAAGAACGCTCTCTGATGTAGACATTCTCTCAAAGTCTAAGTGCCTTGTTTGGCAGTGCCCTCTCAATCTGCATTTAAGGCAATCAACAAACATTTAGCAGATTCTATACGCAGTTAGACAAGTGCACGCACTTACCAAAAACTTTGTTTTGCTGAGAATCCGAGCCCCAGGATCCTCCACAACAGGCCGCCTGGCTTACAAGGACGAAGACAGAGGCACATCTGTTGGTCACGGGAAAGGGCAGGGCTAAAGCCTGCTTATCTAAAGAGTCTGAACGTTCGAGATAACTATTTTGCCCCCCAAAATTGCCCTTGCTTGAAAGTTACATAGTGAATATGATCCTAATAACATTAGGCAATGAACGCAAATAAAATCCAGCAGATATAACAGCTGATCTAGCAAAATAGGAAAAAAAAAATCATACATTTCAGTTGTGTTCCTACTGAGGCAGTAAAGGTTGAATCAGGGAAAGCTGATTCTCAAGGAAAATAACTTTAAACCCCAGGCTCATACACCATCCACAGGAGACTCGATAACAGCTCTTCTTCGTAAGGGGATTGGAGAAATGTGGGTTATACAAGTTGAAGTACGGTAAACGATAAGCAGGGTCGGCGTGTTGTTGAAGTCCTATGTCAAGAACGCTCTCTAACAGAAGGGCGTCGTGGCGGAGGTTTTCTAGTTTGTCACACGTGCATCGACTAGGATCGGGGCGCTGCTGAACGCGTCTCTAGGATTACCGGAATATTCAGTTCACAAAGCTCTCCTGGCTCTGAAGAAAAAAGCTGGTTTGTTGGATGGTGTGGAGATTTTTCTTTGGGAGGCATCCCACAATGGACTGCTCTGACAAATAACAAAATGTTCAACATACGGAGAAAAAAACAAAAAATCCCAGGCTACTGAAGGTATCAAGCTTGATGAATACTTCAGCTCTTACTATTTGTGAGAGTAGGATTTATTTGGTGGACTTTCAAGGGAACTTTGCCCTAAGAACTGGGTTCTTGTCGCCGAAGCAAAAACTTTAGGTTGCATTGGAAGAACCTGCTGCTCCGCAGCACTTTGAAACGCTGTTTTTTTGAGAACGGAATGTTAAATGAAAACTCTAAGGGCTCTGCTAGCAAGGATAGTTATGTAGTTTATTTCCAGCCTATTCAAGTGGCTTTTTAATCATTGATTAGATTAAGGAAACACTTTCACACAATCACAGAATAGCGGAGGCTGGAAGAGGCCTCTGGAGAACACAAAGTCCAAATCCCTGCCCAAGCAGAGCCAGGTGGAACGAGTTTCCCAGAACTGTGTTAAGGTTTTGAGCATCTCCAAGGTTGGAGACTCCACAACCTCTTCATTCAATTTAATGTCTTCTAGGGATATTTATTTCACTCACCTTGTGCCTTCTAAGAATTTCAGCTGACCCTCCAGTTACAGTGAGTTACAGAGTTGTTAGTGAACTAAAATGCTGCCTAATACGTAATGGTTATATTTTGGCTTTTCATGAAAAGACAAGACAACTTCAAAAACAGTATTTCGTGGAGAAGTGGCCATGTGTTTGCAGCACTGTGGTTTTAAGCTAGGAATAAGACTCGTCTCATGCATCTAATCTCTCTCAAATATTGTGTATTGGGTTTGTGTGGCAAGGTCTTGGTAGTGGGGGGCTACAGGGAAGAAGCTGGCAGAAGCTTCCTCCGTGTCCAACAAAGCCAATGCCAGCTGGCTCACAGGTGGACCTGCTGCTGGCCAAGTCCAAGCCCATCAGCAACAGTGGTAGTGCCTCTGGGGTAATGTATTTAAGAAAGGAGGAAAAAACCAAGAAAGTGCACAATTGCAGCCGACATATGTGAGAGGAGCAGCCCTGCAGCCCCCCAGGTGGGGGCAGCAGGAGGGGCTGAGGAGCTCCAGGCGCCGGAGCAGAGATTCCCCCTCAGCCCCTGGTGCAGCCCATGGTGGGGCAGGCTGTGCCCCTGCAGCCCGGGGAGTCCACGGGGGAGCAGATCCCCACCTGCAGCCCAGGGAGCCCACGGGGGAGCAGATCCCCACCTGCAGCCCAGGGAGGCCATGGGGGAGCGGATCCCCACCTGCAGCCCTGGGTGTACCAGGCTGGGGCAGGTTTGCTGGCAGGGCTGGTGCCCGGCGGGGGACCCACGCTGGAGCCGTCTGCTCCTGAGGGGCTGTAGTCTGTGGGAAGGTGGGACCCATGCTGGAGCAGTGTGTGAAGAACTGCAGCCTGTGGGAAGGACCCATGTTGGAGAAGTTCATGGAGGACTGTCTGAGGTGGGAGGGACCCCAGGGCCAGAACAGGGGAGGAGTGTGAGGAGTCCTCCCCTGAGGAGGTAGGAGCGGCAGAGACAGCATGTGATAAACTGACCCCAACCCCCATTCCCTATCCACGGGAGCTGCTGTGGGGTAGGAGGTAGAGAAAATTGGGAGTAAAGTTAAGCCCAGGAAGAAGGAAGGGGTGAGGGGAGGCGTTTTAAGATTCGGTTTTTATTTCTCATTAACATACTCTGATTTGATTGGTAGTGAATTAAACCAATTTCTCAAGTCGAGCCTGTTTTGCCCGTGACAGTAATTGCCGAGTGACCTCCCCCTATCCTTATCTCAACCCAGGAGCCTTTCATTGTATTTTCTGTCCCCTGTTCAGCTGAGGAGGGGAGTGATAGGGTGGCTTAGGTGGGCACCTGGCACCCAGCCAGGGTCAACCCACCACGTGTTTCTTTGAGAATGCAAGTAGGTATTGCTGTAGACAGGTGTCGTGGTTTGGTTAACAATTACATCACACGTATGAAAAGGTACAGTTAGGTCGGAAGGACAAACATGTGGACTTCCTACAGCATAAGGACTGTTACCAAACCCCACTGAGTCTGTTTTTAGACTTGATACAAAGCCGAGGCGCTTGGGACTTAGAAGCCAAAGCACACTTTTGTCTATAGTACAGATAATTAAAAAAAAAAAATCCAGGATCCTGATTTTCCATGATTTGTGTGCGTGATAAATAGCACGCTACCCCACAATGATGTAGACAAGAATCTAGGAGCTCACTTACTTTATTACATATCTGAGAATATAAGACAACACTAAAACATACACTACAAAGGTCTTTTAAAAAAATAAATCAAGCTTTAACCTAATGTTGCAGAATTTAATTTCAAAGCAATATGCAAACAAATGTTGCTTGCCTTCCAAGGCACAGTGGTATAAACATGAAAACTGCAGAAGTGATATATTTAATACAAAAATATAAATAGTTAATCTAAGTGACAAAACAGCACAATTCCTCCTGTGTATAAACCTTCATTTAAAAAAGGTTAGCTTTATTCTCAATCATGAAATGTAATCCAATGACAATGAAAACTATTCCTTTCATGACACCTACTCAGAGCATCTCCCTACCACACCAGCATAATAAGTATGAGTACTCAAAACATTATAAAAATTTTGCTGCATTATGTCAGAGAAGTTTTGCTGGGCTTTTTTTCCTGAAAAATCTGATCCTTGCTGACTTGACTCTGCAAAGTCTGAATATTATCCAGAGTCCAAAGGACTTCTTGAACGAGTCCTCACTGAATTACATTAATAACTTTGACATTAGACTATTACTTTGTTAAATAAATTATCTTTCTCAATTATAAATAGTGTCAAATTCCTGAAAAACATTCCTCCTTTAAACCTCGTTTCTGAAAAATTTCCAATGCAAAGTGAATTAAAACATTGTTTTATTGCTAGCAAATACAAAGAACTGTTCAAACGGCAAAGAACACAGAATTGTGCCAATCTGACTTTGAAATGAGCCAACGGCGAACTTACAAAGAAAAAACAATCTATTTATTGCTCAGCCTTTCTCAAGCAAATGAAAATATGAAAGTAATCCCGATCGTGCCCATTTCACACACGGCGCACTCCAGAGGATTTCAGCGTTGCTTCATAGAGCCGATGCTGTGGCTGACTGAATGTGATGCAGTAGTTGATTACAATAGGCTGGCGTTTGATGCTTATGAACAACCCCTTCAATTTCTTTCACGAGCAGTTCTGGATATAAACCGCTTCCTTCTTTTAAAACTTCTGTAAAACAAAAATAGGGTTTTTTAGCCGCTTTGTGTTTCTCTATCCAAGGTCGCCAAAACCTAACCTGGAAGTTGTTTTTTACCTGCTGCACGGTCACAACAACCCGATTCCTCCCTCATTTGCTGAGGTCTGTGTTTTGACAGGCACATGCTTGAACACAGACTGATACACTAATATATCCCAAAGAATCCATCCAGCAAGCTAGGGGATGGTCACATCCTGTGATGGCTACTGCCGGTGCTCCACATCCTGTTTACAGAATCACAGAATCGCAAGGGTTGGAAGGGACCTCAGGAGATCATCTAGTCCAACCCCCCTGCTAAAGCAGGCTCTCCTAGAGCATTCTACACAGGACTTCATCCAGGCGGGCTTTGAATATCTACAGAGAAGGAGACTCCACAGCCCCCCTGGGCAGCCTGTTCCAGGGCTCTGTCACCCTTAGAGTAAAGAAGTTTTTCCTCATATTCAACTGAAACCTCTTATGTTTCAGTTTGCACCCATTGCCCCTTGTCCTGTCACTGGACACCACTGCAAACAGACTGCTTCCATCCTCGTGACTTCCGCCCTTAAGATATTTGTATGCGTTGATAAGGTCCCCTCTCAGTCTTCTCTTCTTCAGGCTGAACAAGCCCAACTCTCTCAGCCTTTCCTC